TGGTTCCGCCGACAAGGTCTGCAGCAACTGGACTGTCCCTGAGAAACGCTGAGAGGATCAGTCTGCCTCCAGCTCGTACAAAGAGACTGCGCAATTCCTTCTTACACTGTGCTATCCGGTTGTATAATAACAGACCAACACTTGATACACAGTAATCACTTTGTATTATATGTAATGCTAAGTGTGTTCGCTTTGCTTTTTATGGTATAGAATTGGTTGTAATTGAGATGCTGTTTTTTTTAAGATAATTCTGCTTGTGACGTTACTTGTAATGTTAAACTTTGTAATGTGTACATTGACTCATGAAGTATGTAACCAGGACGTAATTCGGGCAATTTTTGCCCGCGAGCTCCTTTGGACTTTTTAATAAACTTGTATTTTTCAGTTGATTCAGGACCAGAATCATTTTTTTTTTTTTTTTGCAAATCAGAAAAAAACGAAGAGTCGAATCCGAGAACCAACAAATTAAATTGGTATGGCCCTAATATGTATATACGTACCAAGTATAAGGTTACAGATTGCTGTTCTGGCTGTCTTGATGTTCTGGAAGGACCCAAGGAGGTGGATTTTTCTGCAAAATAAACAGTACCTGCTGTTAACTCTTCCTTTTTAATATCTAGTCATTAGCCATCTGAAGCATACACATTGACATACTGTAACACAGACATTAAGATTAACATACAACTTTTAAAGGAAACGCATGGCTAATCTTTTACTACATTGTATGACTAATAACTGCAAGACAACTCAAGAACTCAAAACATAAAGTAATCTCACATTTAATTAGCCTCTGGCATGCTGTCACCAGCATCTGGACACTCATTACAACTAGCTCAGATACACGTAATAAAGCATGTTACAGGTTACCATTTACTACTAAGCAGATATGACAAACTTGACAAACTGAAGGATAAAGACTTAGGGACTTAAGACCACAAAATTAATGATAAAAAAATCCACATCACTTACGTGTCTGCAAGAACTATTCTTGTCTTTGTAACATTTTCGATAGTAAACTTTGTTTTTCCCCCTTTCCCTGCTATCCGGCCGATGGCTCTGGATAAATGTTCTCCTTTCAAAGATGCCTTGACTGTAAGATAGAACACAAAAAAAAAATAATGTACAACATACCACATATTCGTGTTTTTACACAATGTTCTAACAAAATGTGTCCGCATTCTGAATAACACTTAAGGTTATAGCAGAACTGTAAGTCGTGATGGTAGTGATTTTATTTGATTTTATAGGATTTATGACTTGTTTTAATTCTTATTTGCAATGAATAATGCTAATAAGCCTAATATTTCTGTGTAAGGAAACCGCAATTCAGCACTTGTGCTGCAAAGGGTTTTTGTTGAATAAACCATTCTCTCTTCAAAAATGTGTATTTCATTGACCACTATAGCCAGGTTTGACTGTATATCTCTATCATCCACAAAGGAGATCCCAATAACACAAATAAAGGTAATGAAATCCACACTCAAGCAAACAAAAACATACTCCCTGCAATAAAATTGCCTTACTGGCTGCTACTCAGCTTTTGTCCGCACCGCGTAAATCGCAAACCCGAGTTCCTACAAGACTCTAACATTCCACAAGGATTGCTATAGGTATTCGTATTTCCCAAGGAATGTTAGAGACTGGAATGCGCTTCCGCAGGCCTTACCAGAAATACCAGAGGCCGACAAGTTTAAGGAAGCTGCTCTGCTACACTTGAGGAGTATTTAGAACGCTGCGCACTCCCCCCCCCCCTGCGTGTTTGACCCCAACTGAGGGGTGTTACACAGTACTACTTCAAGATCAAGAAGATATGTTTATGGACTCAGTATGACTTCAAACATGTAACCTATATCTAGTTTTTATTTGTCAAAACTCAAACCCTGATTTCTTACTTTGGGAGCCCAATGAAAAGCGGCCAGGAGGCCAATTTCAGTATTATTATCATGAATCTGTATGTGAATTGGTATAGCCGGTATAACCGCCCTTTGGCATAACACACCAGCTCAGAATTAACAGAGGCATAAACAAACAAACAAACACACAAACAAATAGAAAGGCACAAGGAATCTCACCATCAGCAACTTCAAATGATTCCAAGAAGAGATCATCTAGTCTGACCAGGGCTAAAGCATCCTGGAAAGATGATTTAAAGAATGGTTTAAGGAAAGTTAGCTATCCTTATAACTTACACACTTCTTGATTCAAATTCTAGATTATGAACTGAAATTATGAATCTGCAATTATTTCTGTAAATAATTTCATCAGATTGGCAAATGATTGAACAGCAAAGTTTTTTTTTTCCACAACCGCTTGTTTAACAAGATAGAGCTGACATTTGGAACACCTAGCTTCAGTGCACAATGAACCAGTCATATTATTTATTTCTTTTTTTAAATTGCCAACAATACAATGCAATACAGTGGAAGCCCTGGCAGCTGAGCTGATGTCGGGCCCCACATTATGTCCCCACATTATGTTAGCACCACTTGGTTCATCAGATCATAGCATTGTTGTTTGTCAGCTAAACATGTGTATTCAGTGTTCTCACCAGGATTTTTTTTACAGCATAGGGGTCAGGTACAGAAGGGCAACTTTCGCGGCGCAAGTCGCGTATTGTGCCTAAAAACTTTGAAACTCATAACCCCCTGAGACACTATTTCTCACTTATTGGGGGACAGATTTTGTAAAGTTAAGGTTTTCCCTTTACTATAGCTTCAATCTAAAGTTATATTTTTATTTTTGCAAGATTTATGAAGGTTCCCCCCCAAAAAACACCCCTATGCTGCTTGAAAGACAGCATAGGGGTCCAAATCACAGCATAGGGGGTCCAAATCACAGCATAGGGGGCCCCTATGCTCAAAAGGCCTGGCGAGAACACTGGTATTCCTCGTAATAATATTAAACGACCTTTTCAGATCTGAACTAAGCAAAGCAAACTGGTCCTGTACTATGTATGGCTCTATAAATGATAGTAGCCCTGTTGAAGATGACAGACGGTCATAAAAACATGAGCTCTCGTTAAACAAGTGGATATGAATAAAGAATTGTGCCGTTCCTGAATGATTGACTAGCAAAGTTCTTTATTCCCAACCACTTGTTTAACAAGAGCTTCAGTGCACAATGAACCAGTCATAGTTGCCCTGATGAAGATGACAGACGGTCATTAAAAAATCGGCTCTTGGTAATGTTAAATAAGTGGTTGTGAATAAAGAGTGCTTCTTTTATTTACAATTACAATGACTAAAACAGTTTCTACCTCCACGTCGAAGCCGAGGGTAAAGGCCCGTACAAAGTCTGCTCCCTTCTGTAGAGCACCGACGTCTCTGGTCTCCTTGCATGACTGAAAGAAATCACCCATTTGAACCAACATCATAAATACAAAACCCTAGTAGGTACATGTAGGATGACTTTTCTATCTACAACCATAATCATCTCTCTCTCTCTCTCTCTCTCTCTCTCTAGCATACATATAACAGTGTACTCATTAAATATGTTGCTCCTGGTGACAGATGTCTTATGTGTTTGGAAAAGAAGAAGTCTGAAGAAACAGCAAAAACAATATATTTTCCTTCTGCAAAGGTAAACATAACTAAATCTGTACTAGTAAATGACCTTTGCCACCAAACGAATTCAAAATTGAATCCTATAACTGGGTATATGTGGACCTAGCTTAGGGCACATCCATTTGGTGTGGCCTTAGGTTCTCAAGCCTGACCAGGGTTCTAGCTAGCGCGAAGTAGCGTAGGGGCCCCCTACGCTAAAATTTTCACCCCCTATGCTAAATTTTCCCCCCTACACTATAATTTTGACCCCCCACTCTAAATTTTCAATACAGCATAAGGGCATTGTGACAGTGTATTTCTTTGTTCAAGAATGCCAGATCAAATGTGAAAAATCACCAATCAAGGATACATTGTACACACCTTAGAAATAACATTTTTTTCCTTTGGGTATCCTTCAAATGGCCCCTTTTTACTTTAATTTTAGCTCAATTTTTTAAAAGCTCCGCCCCATCCCCCCTCTAGTCGCTTCGCTCCCTTGACATGCGGCCAGTACCACTATGTTAAAATTAAATCCTAGCTAGAACCCTGCTGACCACCTCACCTTAATCTCCACATGTCTTGTCCTGAGGTTGAACCTGATCTGTAACTTCAGGTGCTCCACCACAGGCGTGTAAATCTTCATCCAGTTCTCCTTCAGGGGAGTGTACCTGTTCGGGGGGACCGGGATCTTCCTCAGGTCTACTTTACCTTCCTGCAGGGGAGAGGAACAGAGTGTTGATACCTCGTACAGTACACCTGGGTTCTGACGCTTAAATAATTCACCTGAATCCAGGCCATTAGGTACCCTTACTGGGTAATGAGGCCGTCTTTGGGGTATAAACAGTTTGGGCATTCAGTGGGAGAAGGCGTATCCATATCTATCAGGGTGGTCCTTACCACTCTATAGCCAACTTGGTCTTAACAAGGACGTTCAACGTCCTTGGTCTTAAATACATTTACTGAGCTGCTGTTTACTGTGGCTGGTGACAGTTTGTTCCAAATTGGGGTTGTTCTTGCACAGGGAAGAAGTTGGACCTGGGTCCATTTGATTTTTGTACCTGGTACTTGTAAGCATGTGGTCTAGTCTTTTTGGATAAGCTTGGCGTAAACATTCTGTCCGCAGTTTATCAAATCCGTGGGAGATCTTGTACAACTCCACCACATCGGCTTTCAGCCTACGGAAGTCTCTGTCTGGCCTCAGCTCGGGTCCGAGCATCTGGGTTCGTGTCGTCTCATCCTCAACTGTTCTGGGGGTGTCGATGTCTTAGGTGGCTGGTCAGGCCTAATGAAGTATAAAAACGTCGGGGGCACTTTGTGCAAGTCAGAGTAGGTGGCGGTCGCGGGAGGAGGAGCCGCTCTTGTCGTTTCCGTCTCTTTGCCTCTGCTGTCATCCGTCGTTGGGTTTCCATGTAGGTTGTTCCCTGTGCGACGGTGCTCCGCCACGCAGTTTGGTCCTCGGCGAGGGTCTCCCAGTTGTCATGGTCAATGCCGCAGCAAAGGAGCGTGGCCTTTAGCTGATCATGGAACCGACGTTTGGGAGCGCCCCTCGGTCTTGTGCCGGATTCAAGTTGAGAGAACAGGATCTGGCGGGGTAGTCGAGTGGTCGGCATTCTTCTGACATGCCCTGCCCAGCGGAGGCGATGTCGGGCTACAGTCGTCTCGATGCTGGGGAGGTTTGTTTGCAGAAGAACAGAATCATTTGAGACACGTTCTTGCCATTTTATCTTCAGGATTGCACGGAGCTTCTGCTGTTGAAAGCGCTCCAGCCTTTTTAAGTCACTCCTGTACAGAACCCACAGTTCAGAGCCATATAGGAGGGTGGAGAGGACGATGGCTTGAAACACCATGATCTTGGTCTGAAGGCTGAGGTCGTGGTTCAGGAATACACGTTTGGCTATCCTTCCGAAAGCAGCGTGTGCAGCACAGATTCTGTTGT